TTCACCAAGGTCATACACTCTGTGCTCTTCTACACGAGAGGAGACGGGTGCAGAATTAGCTGGAAAGTACTTTACCCAACATCTAAATGCACCAGCGAGGTGAGTGGCAACACCAGAGGTGCTCCAGTTGTAAAGATGCTCCTGCCTGGTGGCAAAAGTTACATCCTCCCACAGAGCAAAGGAAGACACCAGGTAGTTCCACGTGCACTGTTGATCCAGAGACAGCATCGCAGCTCATTTGCTTCACTGAGCCTGATCCTAAGGTGCCTGTTTTTTTTTTTTGTTTGCTTTTAAAGAAAACTTTATTAAGAAGTCTCTAATGATGTCTCATTTTAAACAGCATACAGCTAACTTGTGAATTGGGAATAAAGATGTAATAAATTGGTATGATAAAATGGGTACACCGAAACCTGTTTAATATACTATGTAAAAAATAGATTATAAAACAATACTGTGGAAACAGATGAATACATGTCTTGTACTACTAGATCCTTGGACAGAAGTGGCAAACAATATGGAAAATTGCACATTAGAGCTTTATTTTACACCTAGCAAGTTTCTGATAGGGTTTCACATTGGCACAATTCAGACAGAACACAAGCATGCACGGAGGTGTCTAAAAAGCAGGAAATACTAAGCAGTGTGGATGAAAGAAAATCTAACTAGCCAGCTTTATGATAGTAAAGAATGATTGAAATCTGAACCTTGCTGTATTTAACAGCCTGCGTGTCACATTTCTCCAGACAGCTCCTCTGAAAGGTTGACCAATTTGTTTCAATACAGTGGCCACTCAACAGCACCAAAAAAGACAGCGTATATCCAAAACACTGCATGGAAATTCTTCTTCCAAAAGTACAATGTGAAGCCTAAAGTACAAAAGCAGTTAATTTATCACCGCAGCAGAGATTCCTACAGTAACTAATTCAAACTGCTGATGATGCACTAAATCAGAGTGAGTGATGAACACGTACACAGCAGCAAGTGAAGTTCAAAAGGATACAGATCTATGTGATCAATGAGCTGCCACATGGCAAATGAAATGCAGTGTTGACAAACGTACAGTAACAGAGATGAGGCTCCAAAATAATCAAACCAAATATAAGAAAAGTTTAAATAAACCAGTGCAGAAATGTCTCATTACAGAGCTGGAGGTGCCTCTTTACACACATCTAAATACCAGACCTTCAAATCACTAAGCTTTTTCTCAATACTTAATATGAAAAAAAATCTCACTGATAACTTGAAGAGGTGCCTTGCCATAAAGCAGTAAAACCTTACAGAAAATGTAATACAGTGACACCAGTCATGTAAGCAACCATCTATTTCAAGCACACAGATTGGGAACAACAGCCTACAGATGAAAATCTCACACGAATCTAATACTATATTGCATATTACTGCCCTGAGTGATGGCTGAATGATAAGGCCAACTTACGGCATCTTCCTCTACCGATCTATGCAGTTCAGAAACACGATCAGAGCAAGTGGTGCTGACCAAGCCTCTTCATGCTCTAATCACTGTCCTGCCTGATTAATGGCTTTTTGACCAAAAAGCAACACAATTTTGTAAGAAGAGTACTGGCATTCAGTGCCACCTCTTGAATTTCCCTGGAGCATAAGAAATTTCATACATCATGAAAGAAGTCAGGACTTTTAAAAAGAGAGAAATCACATAATATGAGAAGGAAGGGTTTATTAGACATTTCCTACAAAAATAATAGCTGTGACTTTCTCATATGCAAGTGTTACCAGCTGTGGCTATTACTGTCATTATTCAGTTATTCATTACAGCCAAAATAAATATGTTCTCTTTTGGTTTTGTCTATGGAGTGCTATGTGGAAGCAGTGAGAAAGTTCTTTGTTTGAAAATGTCACATGATTCAAGACATCATATGTCTTTGAAGGGCTTCCAGAAAATTGTATCTTCACTAGGTAGTCTCTTGACTGCAGTTTTACTGTGGAACTTCCACACTATAATCCAATGGTCTTCCACAGTATATTTACCATGATAGGAACAGGCTGGTTATTCTTGACAGATATGAATCTCTCCAAAGCCATCTACACTTTAAAACTGAGCATCTCTACTACAATTTTACCTCCCTGCAGACTCCTCAACAGAACAGTTTGATGAACTGTTAGGGATCATGTGCACCTTTGTACATTTGCTGCAGCTCATACTCACTGTTAAAGACTATCCAACAAAGAGCCCCACTCCCTTTCATCAACTTTTTTCTTCTTTTTAACACAATTGATAGTTTTCTTTGACATATAAGGGTTTTTTCTCCCCCAAGCTATCTTGTTCTGCTCTTCAAAAAGTCCACCTGCCAGGTGACAGCATGCGATTACAAAAAAACTCCTAACGAAAAAAAAAGGTAGCTATCCCATTTGCTTCTTGCTCTAAACCTTATCTTTTCCTCTCCTTAACCCAAAGGTTAGCATATTTGTGTGTAGCTTCTCTTATATAAAAGCTCTAATTCTGTTGCTCTTAATTAGATGATGAATCATACCTTGATTTCAATGAAAACACAAACACTCAACGCAAACACAAATAAAGGGCTACTCATTTTGGTTTACGCTAGTGTAATAAGATCACAGGAATACTCTCTTTTATCATCTGTGAAACACTTAAGGACATACCTAATACACTAAAAAGAACTGAAATAATATTAATACTATTAACACTGATGTGCTCCATGTACTGGAGGCTAATGAAAAACAAAGCAAGTAAGATAAAGCAAAGGTCCTTCAGAACTCAGTTGCTCAGCAAGCTATTAGAATAACCCAGGAGGAATGAACCATCAAGTGCACTTTCAGAGTATTCGTTATTTGAAGAGATTTATAAATAGTAGTAATACTTGATTTTGCAGCTATCCTTGAGAAAGGCCATTTAGTTGAACTAGATGAATTCCATGATAAAACTAGATTCAGGGCAACATAATGCTAAATCCCAAATAATGGCACTGGGGCTAAAGAGCTAAAAAGCCTAAATCAATGCATGATAGAAAGGATAAATTAGTCCTCCAGTCCCCCTTATCATCATCAAAGCAGGCCTGCCAACTCTACAGGGCAGGAACACTATTTTGTTAGATCCACAAAGCACAAAGAATTAAATGATTGACAGACATTTCCAATTGTGTAATTTGTAGCTTAAGAGCAAGCTTATGAACTTTATGTTATATTTTGTTCAACTTGGAGATATCTACATGGGAAATGTCTATCTGGATTTCAAACAGTTTTTATAAAAGAAGTTAGAATATCATCTTCCTACTGAACTGATGCCAAGACTTTCACTAGTCAGATTTTCACAGTTAGATTTTTCATAAACTTTCATTAGCAAACAGAAGAGTTTCTATTTAGAGCAGAACCGGTGAAAAGCAGAAATAATAGGAAACCACTCAAATCAAAAAACAAAGCTCCATTACAACTTTATGGTAATTATGATAATTTAATCCCTGCATAGCCCTATTCTTTGATCTGAACTTTTTTCTAAATTTATTTCAGGACAACTTGCACACTGTTATTTCTCAGGCAAACATAGAGGAAAACAGAAAAACAGGGTTTGAGATGTATGTATTAAAACTTTTTCTTTCTAAAGCCCTGAGTGAAATGTTTTTTTGGGAAAAAGTTCTATTGAATTTCCATATCAATGGATCTCTGCAGGCAAAAGTTTCTGGCTGGAATATGGAGTTTGCTGGACTAAGGATGGAAGTCTTATTGGCTTAAATGAGATGAGGGCTTTACCCTTGACATATACAAGATTTTAGGAAGGAAACTTTTGATTTCAAGATTTCTTATCTATCTGGCTAAGAAGATTATCAAACTGATTTGACCTGGTGTTACAACTAAGAAAATGATCCAGCTGGGTCCTGCGCATAAGTTATGCTGCAAACCCTGAAAGTCCTGTAAACTCTCCAAAAAGCTGTATGTCCCCAGCAGGTTTCCTTTCATTGCCTATTGCATGGAACACACCTCTCTGACATAACCAATGCATTTATTTAACTTTTGTTTTATATTTTATCTTCCAATTTATTTTGGTTAGAGGTAGAATTATTCTGTTAAAAAATGACCTGATCCTAGACGTAGTTTATTTAAATTTCAAAATGAAAAGCTTACTAAGAACAGATAAGATTGATTGCTCTTTCCATCTTAGCATAATTGTATTTCAGGTGAACATCAATTTACTTTAAAGGACACTTCTAAGTAGCAGGCTGCATCATACATAATTCATCAATCACAGCTGCCTGTAACATGATTTACTCAAGCAGATTTCTATGGAATAGAGGGAGTTGCATTGTTTTTTATGCTTTGGCTTGTTTGTTTCTAGATAGTTTACGAAACACTCATTTGCGCTGAATTATTGCTGAAAAAAGTTCATCCTTGGTAATCAGCACATTGAATTTCTTTCTCTTCATACAGAAATGCTACCTCTTGAAATTCCTTCTAAAAGACAGAGTGAGTTTTCGAAACATTGTTAAGGCAAAGAACACTCCATGCTTATCAAAGGTAAAAATAAAGCTCAAGGATTTTGCAAGGGGGGAAGGGAAGGGAAAAAATATTTATCTGAAAAGCATTACTTGTTTTAGGGCTGTGTATTTTCTAGAAGGCTTGACATGATTTGTTATTATTTGTTATATCAGCACGCAAATGTAATTGAAGAGAAGTAGCTCCTTCCTCAGCTAGCCCTTCACACAGTTGTCACATGGATAAAATGGCTTTTATGTGGCAATCTACACAAAATGGACACAAAACCGTGTGCTGGTTAAAGTGCAATCACTTGATACACCAAGAAATACAGGTGAAACTGGGGGCACTGGAATGTGTGTTACACTACTCAGCATCTTCCATCTAATTCAGCTTCAAGGACACGTTGGTGCCTCTGATGGTCCTGAAGTAAAGAAACAGTTCCACAAATAGATGCAAATATAATTTAAAAAGAAAAAAGAGAGCACGAAACTGCTAGAAATGCACACCTACACAAGGACAGAAATGCCTTTACTTACTTGTAAGCCCATTTGAAACACAGAGTGACCCATAAAGTTGGCCAACATTCGAATTAGAGCTGCACCCTGGGGGAAATAACAGAGAAAAAAATAAGTTATCATTTTTGCATGTCAATATTGCACAATAATAATAATCTGAGGTAGGCATTTCCATTCAACACTATAATCTTGGAAATTTGTGATTAATATAATCTTTATTTGTGCTGGAATGAAAAAGAGGGAGAGAAGATAATGCAAATGCTTACCAGGAAAAGAGAGGAAGCCGCCTGATAGCGTTGATACCCCGCCCTGTATCCTAAATAAGGCACAGGTCATAAAACACGCTCTCCCCACTCCTGGAGCACGGATGCGTCAGCTCCACAGCTGGTTGCCCCCAGCCCTTCTGTGCACTCAGCAGTACTTCACAGTTTTAAATGAAGGCAAAAAATAATGTCCATGCTAAATTCTACCACAGTGATTACTCATAATATTTTTACCTCCATTATACTGTTGTAAATCAGGATTTAGTGATGCTACTTTCCTTTGTAAAAGCCTTCCAGATCTGATGATCTGGAAGTGGATCATTTTTGTAAGAATGTTATAAGATGTGGATACACATATCTGACTTATTAATAGCCAGCTTATTTCCCAGACTGTCACGCAAAGAGGTAAGCTCTTGTACAATACTCTTTCTCTACTTGTACCAGTTCTTCTCCTTTGCCCCTTCAGGCAAAGAGGACAGATGTAAAAAAAATCCTTTTGTTTCACCGGTGATTCTAATTCTCGGTAATTACACCAAGGAACAGATAGATACCTGCCAGAGCAGCTTTCTTTAAGGCTTCCCTTTTGTGTTTTCTCATTCCCTCTCAGAACCACAATTGCTGTGTATTTTCCCCTTGCACAAGTGCTGTTTCAAGCAGAAGTATCTTTGCAGATCTGATTTGATCATTTATCTATAATATCCCACTCTGTAATCCAATTTCAAGACCACCAGCCTTCCAATCCCATTAATCAAATGGTATACTTAGTACCAATGACTGCACTTTTGATTTAAATTCAGTGAATCAAAGGCCATAAGAAAACATGATGCTAGAACTCAACAACCTCAGCTACAGATGTAGGTTCGGGAATTAGGCTAATGCTCGATTAGAAAATAAAAGAAAAAAACCAAAACATTTCACAGATTCAAAAAATCACAGGTTCTAAAGCTAGAAGGACTATTACAACAACGTAATCTGAGTTCCTGCATTAACAGAGGTCAAACAGTAATTCAGGCAAAAACCCTACTGCTTCTCCTTACACAACAGCATCTATTATAGGAAGATTCAAGAAAAGAAAAATGTTTCACAGTACTACATAACTTGTCACAACTAATATTCACTCTCACTGTGAAAATGTGCACCTTTTTACTAATTTGAATTTCGCTAGCTTCAGCTTTCAAAACAAGATTTTATGTCTCTTCCTGCTAGATTCAAGTTCAAAATAATTTTGGAATTCAAGAGTTGTCCAATTTTTACACCGTTTAACATGCATTCCACTCATTTTTTTCGTATAGTGCCTATTTTCGAAGCACTGAAGGAATTATCTGTAATAACCAACATTTGAAATAATGATATAAATTAAAAAGATTAGTAGATTATTAGTAAATCTTAAGAAACATGACAAGTCCTTCAAATAGGGAGCAATGACAAATAACATACAGCTACTAAAGTAACTGAAGAAAAAAAAATTAAAAATTAATTCAGTAGATGTTTGTAATTCCTCATAATAATTGAACAGTGGATAAACCAAAAGATGGTGTTTGCATTATTAACTCCATGTCATGTTTTTATGGTGGTATGTAATCTTACTGGGAGACCATCCATGTCTGGAACACGCAGCAGCATAGAAAATAATCCCTACTGAAACAGATTATTACCTGAACAGACAAGACCATAGGTCAGGAAGTATTATTACCCTTATTTTAGCAGAGGAACAGAATGGGTAAAGTTCTCAAGAGATGTTTAAGCAGATAAATAGCAGATAAATCTGTCTAAGCAGATGAAAAAAATCTAAGAAATAGATAAATGTCATTTATCCAGTAAGTAACTTGGGCAGGGCAACCCAAAACATGTGTAGCAGAACCAAAAATATATACAAGAGATAAATCCAAATCTTTAACGACATTCTTCTGCTCATCACTCATCCCTTTTTCTACTCACTCAGTATTCCAGGGTCCCCTTGTTTCTTTCTCACAGTTTAAATTTCACATAGTAGCAATGGGTATATATTTACATAGGCACCTTAACTCTACTGATTTCTGAGAGAAGTAAGCAAAAAAAAAAAACCTTCATAGGATCTTGCCCACAGAGTCTTTTTCTATCCAGAGACCAAGAACTGTCAGACACATGTAAAAAGAAAATTATAAAATTCCACTTACAGGTAACATTTAGCCACATTGGGTGGAACTAGGGATGGCCCTTACACACCAGACAAAACAAAAAATAAATTAAAGACTGAATAGGTGATCCAAGACACAAAGGCAGGACTACTCTCTCAGGAGCCATCTGTTTTCACAGCTATTTTAGAAGTACTTTCTACCAATTATTTACCTTCATGATATCCAGAAGGCCTACTTACAGCTTCCAGAACAACAATATGCTTGTCCCAGCTCTGCCATCTTCCCCACACATGGAAGGCAAACGCCTTCTTGACTTATTTACTGAAGGTTAGTACAGGAAAGGAGAGAGAAGGAAAGGGATTCTGAAGAGAAAGTGGAAAACATAAATCCAGAGAACCTTCAAGGGAAAAAAACTCCTGGGGAGAAGGGAGGAGAAACAGGAGCCAGAGGGTCCTGGGAGATAAAGAAGGTATGTGCAGTAAGTTCAGTTACAGAAGCAATGGAACACATGGCCTTGGGGTCATCTGAATGGCCCAATGTGCCAGCATTTTCACTGCCTATCTGCCTAGCAAGCAAGCAGTGAACTAGAAGGAGACCAGAGGATCTACACTTCCATACCTTCTGAAAGCTTCTCTGACCTAGACCTAAACCTACAGGAACATCCTAAATAATAACAAAACTGTCCTGCTGCAGAGGATGATCTTTGGAACTGGTCAGCATCAGTCCCTCAACACCTTGACAATGCAACCAATCTGCTCCCCATTTCACTCTCAGGGCCACATCTGCTCTACCAACATTTTTCCAACTAAGGCATGACATATGGAGTCTTGAGAAGCGAACCTGGCTCTCTTACAGGGCAGAATGGTGATTTACTGATGATTTAAGTGCTTTCCTCTGGGCAGTGGATGACTCAGTACCTTGTGAAGAGGTAAAACACATTGGTTTGACAGTGAAAAGCAATTCTCTCCTATTAAAAAAATGTACCTATGCTCCTGACAGTGAAAAATCTGACTATCTGACTCACTTTAAGCCATTGTACCCCATCTTAATAGAAGTCTATTCAGACAAATACACATGATATTCAGCCCTGGCTCTGGTGAAGCACTGTTCATTAGCAGATCTCATGAGTGCTTCGTAAGATATTGGTGTCAATACCCTGCAAATTAAAGGGAAACTGAGGCACAACATAGTGAAATCATTTGCTGAAGATCACCCAGCATGCTCCTCACATAACCCATGCCACAGTCGAAGCTTCCTCAGCCTCAGCACTGTTATAAGAAAGGAAAGCAGAACGTCAGCTATTCCATGGAAATTAACTGCACACACAGGCCTTTTCTGCAAAGTGTTCCTGGGAAAAAGTATGCTCAGGGAGAATGGTTTGAAGCTGTGCCAGGGCAGGTTTAGGCTAGACATTAGGAAAAACTTCTTCACCGAAAGGGTTGTCAGGCTCTGGAATGGGCTGCCCAGGGAGGTGGTCGAGTCCTCATCCCTGGAGGTATTTAAAAGAAGGATAGATGAGATGCTTAGGGACATGGTTTAGTGGTGTGATGGCATGGTTAGGTTAAAGGTTGGACTCGATGATCTTAAAGGTCTTTTCCAACCAAAGTGATTCTATGATTCTATGATTCATGGGCAGTTATCCAACACTGGATGAAGTCCTGGAAGTTCATGCTCTTTCTTTCCCTGAAACCGATTTGCACACTCACACCATCGTTAAGACCATCCATAACTAAAATTGGGAGCAAAATTCCTTTCTATGTGAGCTGAATTTGTCTTTGAAATCTACAAAATGCAGAGTCACAGCTAAGGCATTCAGTCTAATTCTCTCCATGCCAACATAAAATAACGTGATTGCAACCTTGATCTCAGATTAAATGAAACTAATTTTTGAAGACTCACTCCTACATTTTTTGATCCTGTGGCATCACTACAGGTCACAATTACTGTAAGTTAATTTAATTCTCTGACTTATTGAATGATCTAATTCTATTATATCTGATTTCTTAAACTAATTGTTTCACTTGCAACTTGCATCCTGTAATCTTTTCTTACACAAAATAAAGTACCAAATGGAATTTTCTTCAACAGGAAAAAAAGGGAAGTCTTATGTATGAACCCACAAAAATATGACTACTGCATACAACACAGTATTGTTATACAGCCACACAGGAGGGGATACATCTGACTAAACGCAGGTATCAGTAGCATTTCTGTCTACAGTTACTTTAGGTGTCTAGAATTCCTTTACAGTCAATAGACAGCACCAGGCACTTCTGAGTGCACTTTATCTCATCTTAAAGTAGACCTTCAAACTGATCAGGAGATTTGTACCCTAAAAGCACCCATCTCTTGTAATTCACTCCAAGAGTAGCCTTGGATGACTAGCTCATATGGACATATCTGCACTGCAGATATCTAAAGTGACGGGAGATGAACTCAACTGCGTTGCCCAAAAAGGCCATACAGGGACTGATTCCCCACTCTGTTACAAAAGTCCTGTACTAGTAAGGAGTTCCCAAGAATTTCTGAATTGTGGAGATATAAAACCGGTGTGACACCATCCTTTTCTATATATACAATCATATAACATATACCATATCTCAGTTTATTCTACATTGTCATGCTTTCATATAGGGAAACCAGAAAGAGTAGGTACTCAAGAGAGGGCCCTGAAGAGAGGGCAGTGTGCTTGCTAGCTGAAAGTGGA